TACAAGGACCACTTCTCCTCGCTAAAGTGCCGCAGAGGGCGCCATGGTGAGGGTGATTATAACTGGTTTTACAGTAACGAGTCATTGAAGATGCAGCGCTGGTGGACCAACCCCCTCTATAAGGACCACTTTTCGTTAAAGTGCCGCAGAGGGCACCACGGTGAGAAACGAGTGTATCAAGTGTGATTCTAAGGAGTGTGACAGTAACGAGTGATGTAGCGCTGGTGTGCCAACCCTCTATATAAGGAAAGGACCACTTTTCATGCCACAGGGGGCACCATGGTGAGGGTGATAGTAAAGAGCAATGCAGACCCCTATATATGGACCAATTTTCCTCTTCAATGTGATGCAAATCTTCAGAATTAATGTTACTGACGTTTCCCTCTTTCCTGTGATCCTCCTCTCTCATGTCTTCCCTCTCCTGTGTTTCCCTCTCTCCTGTGTTTGCCCCTCTCCTGTGTTTGCCCCTCTCCTGTGTTTGCCTCTCTCCTGTGTTTGCCCCTCTCCTGTGTTTGCCCCTCTCCTGTGTTTGCCCCTCTCCTGTGTTTGCCCCTCTCCTGTGTTTGCCCCTCTCCTGTGTTTGCCCCTCTCCTGTGTTTGCCCCTCTCCTGTGTTTGCCCCTCTCCTGTGTTTGCCCCTCTCCTGTGTTTGCCCCTCTCCTGTGTTTGCCCCTCTCCTGTGTTTGCCCCTCTCCTGTGTTTGCCCCTCTCCTGTGTTTGCCCCTCTCCTGTGTTTGCCCCTCTCCTGTGTTTGCCCCTCTCCTGTGTTTGCCCCTCTCCTGTGTTTGCCCCTCTCCTGTATCTCCTCCTGTCCTGTTCTTCCCGCCTCGTTGCCCCTCCCCGGTGGCATTCTCTCAGGCGAGTTTCGCCTGCTTCCTGAAATAGCGGAGGAGGTGGTAACAAGAGGGCCTCCTCCGGAATCACCCAAGCAACTTGGGTATAGAGATCCTGGCAGCGCAGGGAAGGTATGTCAAAATAAGAGGCGAAGGGAAGGAGAGAGAGAAAAAAAGAGAGAGGGAGAGAGCCAGAAAGGGAGGCAAGAAATGATATAAATTCTATAAAAGAAGCCGATCTATGAGGCGCCCCAAAAATTGTTACGTGGAAGGGGAAGGGAAGCGGAGGGAGGGAGGGGGAGACAGATGGTGGGATCTGTGATGCATGTTAAGGGCTTGTCAAAGTACGCGGAGGATAGGAGATGAGATGGCGCCACACAAGTGCGCAGCCAGTGTGTGGGTTTAGGGTTTCACTCTCAGGGTTTTGGGCTTGAGGTTTCATACAGGAGAAGGGAGATTTGGCAAAGGAGGTGGCAGAGCCACAAGGCAATCCAAACAACAGCACTGGGATCACAACTCTCAAAGTGATTTGACAAGAAGAGAGCAAAACCCCAAACCCCCTTCCCCCTCCCTCCTCCCCCCTTCCCCCTTACCTCCCCGCTTCCTTTCCTCCCCCCCCCCCCGCCTTCTTCCTCCGTCTCCGTTATTTGTGGCAGAAGGCTCTGAAGAGTGAGAGATACGTGCGGTTGGGGTCGCGCAAGCAGGAGAGCTATCTGACCAAGGAGGTGGATTTGAGGAGCTGCACGGCACCTCACAGACAGCCATACTCCCCCTTTCCCCACCCCCTCCCCCACCTCGCCCCCCACCCCGTCCCCCGCCCTCCAGAAGGCCCCGAAGAACGAGCGGTACGTGCGGTCGGGGCCGCGCAAGGAGGGGAGCGATCTGGCCAAGGAGGTGGAGGAGAGGAGCTGAAAGGCACCTCACACTGCCCCTACTCTTCCTTTCCCCACTCCGACTTCCCCACACTCCTCCCTCGTAGCAGAAGGCTCCGAAGAGCGAGAGATACGTGCGGTCGGGGTTGAGGAAAGAGGAGAGCGATCTAGTCAAGGAGGTGAGGAGTTGAAGAAGCAGACTCACACAGACCCCCCTCCCCCTCTTCCTCCCTCCCGCACCCGTCAATCGTGGGACAGAAGGCGCCAAAGAGCGAGCGGTATGGGCGGTCGGGGTCGCAGAAAGAGGAGAGCGATCTGGCCAAGGAGGTGGAGGAGCTGAAACAGCAGGCGGAGCAGCAAGGCACCTCAGACAACCCCTCCCCCACCCCATCCCCCACCCACCCGACTCTGTTGTTATCTGATTCAGAAGGCTCCTAAGAGTGAGAGATACGTGCGTTCGGGGTCACGGAAAGAGGAGAGCGCGAAAAGAGGAGTGTTTTGAGACGTCTCAAAACACTCCTCTTTTCATCTGGCCAAAGAGGTGGAGGAGCTGAAGCAGCAGGTGGCGCCTCAAGGCACCGCAAAAAGTCCCTACCACTCTTTCCCCACCCCGTTTTCCCCATCCCCTCCCCCTTGCCATCTGTTTCAGAAGGCGCCGAAGAGTGAGCGATATGTACGGTCAGGATCGCGCAAGGAGGAGAGCGATCTAGCCAAGGAGGTGGAGGAGCTGAAGCAGCAGGTGGAGCGACTGGAGGTGGATAACGAGGGGCTGCGGAACTCGCAGGAAGACACCTTCATTGTGAGTCTAACGAGTGTGCTCTTGGCTCTAGAACCACCTTCACTGTGAGAATGAGGCGTGCTCATGTGCCTAGAGTTACATCTCCTTGTTACAAGGAACGGAAGCAGCAGGTGGAGTGGCTGGAAAAGGATAACGAGGGGCTGCGGAACTCACAGGAGGACACCTTCCATGTGGGAACGTTGTTCTAATGTGAGATTTACCTTCACGTTGTCTAGTTATGTTCATCTTGTGTAAGAGGGCTTTTACTGTAAGAAGGCTGTTAGAAGGAGCTGATTGCGGGTGAGGATGTGCCTGATTAGCTGATTGCGAGCGCATCTCCTCTCTTTCTCCCCCCTCCCCTCGTGGCCCCCACCCCCCCTCACCAACCCTCCCCTTTTCCTCCTCTCCCCTTCACAGCTGCGCATGCAAGTGGAGCGTCTATTGAGGGAAAAGGTAGAGTTAGCACGCGAGGTCACGATGCTGAAGCGCGAGAAGGAGAGTCTCCAGGAGCTGCTGCAGTACGCGCAGCAGTTTGACATTGCATACCCTCCCCCTCATTACCCCCTTGCGCTTCCTCCCTCCCACCCAATCCTCTTTTGCCTTCTCCTCCCCTCCCCCCCTTCCCCCCTGCAGCTGCGCATGCAAGTGGAGTGCCTGCTGCGAGAAAAGGCAGAGCTGGCACGGGAAGTGACGATGCTGAAGCGCGAGAAGGAGTCTCTCCAGGAGCTGCTGCAGTACGCGCAGCAGTTTGACATTGCATACCCTCCCACTCATTACCCCCTTGCGCTTCCTCCCTCCCACCCAACCCTCTAATGCCTTCTCCCCCCTTCCCCCCCTCCCCCCCTTCCCCCCTGCAGCTGCGCATGCAAGTGGAGCGCCTGTTGAGGGAGAAAGCAGAGTTGGCGAGGGAAGTAACCATGCTGAAGAGGGAGAAAGAGAGTCTGCAGGAGCTGCTGCAGTACGCGCAGCAGTTTGACATTGCAGACGAGGGCGTGGCTGATGAGCTCATCGCGGGCGAGGAGGGCGAGGGCATGGGCGGCAACGAGTGGGGGCCGGGCGAGGGGGACCGGGCCACAGAGGAGTGGTTTCAGATGCTCGAGGCTGCCTCTCATAAGGTTCCGCAGGGTGTGGAGGAGAGTTAGATTGCGGGTGCGGGGTGTGTGGGTTGTGGGTGAGTGGGTGGAGTGCGTGGGGGGTTGCAGCAGGGCGGCAATGAGTGGGCGGGCGAGGGGTGCTGGGCGACGGAGGAGTGGTTTCAGATGCTCGAGGCCGCTTCCCATAGGAATCCCAGCGGCTTAAAGGGGGTGGGTGAGGTGCCGTTGAGGTTTGGGTGAAGTATGGGCGAGGTCTGGACGTGGTCTAAGGTGCCGCTGAGGTGCGGTTGAGGTGCGGCTGAGGTGCGGCTGAGGTGCGGCTGAGGTGCGGCTGAGGTGCGGTTGAGGTGCGGCTGAGGTGTGGGTGAGGTGTGAGTAAGGCTGCAGTGTGCGCATGAGGGTGGGTGGGTGGGGTGGGTGGGGAGCTGCAGGAAAAGGAGAATCTGGAGGGGCTGGTTTTGTAACACCAACAGTTGTGGGTGTCAGGGAGGTGTCGGGCTGGTGTCAGGGAGTTGTCGGGGAGAGGTGCCAGCGTGGTGTCAGGGGATAAAGGATGTGTCGCCGTAGACAGGCTCGGCGAGCTATCACTTGCAGAGGAGGAGGGGAGAAGGGGGTGGGAGAAGAGGGGGGGAAGGAGTGGGAGGAAAAATTGCTACCCCACGAGAGGAGGGAAGAGAAGCAGGTGGCATGGGTTGGTGCAGGGAGGCATGGGAATGAACCGACTCGGAAAAGAGTCCTCTGCATAGGAGACTAGGGGGGGGTGGGCTCCATTTGGACTGGAGTGAAGAGAGGCAGGCGGCAGGGCTGGAGGGCTGTGAGTCGACTCAAGAATCGTGTAACTGAGTGCTACGGTGGGCAGGCATAAGTGGGAGAAGCAGAAGCAGCAGTAGAAAGAGCAGCAACAGCAGGAGCAATGGTAGCAGCAGGAGGGATGTCGAAGCTGTGGTGCTGCAACCACAACCTGTAGTGTACCAGGTTCTATAGGCGCAGCAGTAGCGGTAGTTTAGTAGCAGCCTGGCCATTCAGGAGAACCATAGCCAAGAAAATCACTTGTAGTACCTAAGTTGCGCTATGCATTGTACCTACTTGGTTCTGTTAGTTTCACAATCATTATTTACGAAGTCTGGGTGTGAAAGATGTATACTGTGCATCCCTTTGAACAGAACAACATCAATTTCAAATAGGCCAAAATCAAATCAAGCAGAAACTATACTGGGAGGTAGCAGAACCCTACTGGGCCCTAAGTAGCGTTAGTTAATGCTCTGCTTGCATTGTGAGCCCCAAACAAGTCAGAGATACACCAACAATGACACTAAACCCCACAAGATGTAAATAAAAACAAGCATGCCACTTCCTAACCCTAAATACACCATATGAGACATACCGTACTAGGGTAATCAAGAATAAAAAAACAGCAAAAGATTTCACACATTGTAAGGAGGAACGTTGTCCTTGACTCCTGCCGGCGCTGCATCTGCAATGGCCTTGAGCACACCGCGCTTGTACATGCGGGTGGTGTAGTACCAGAACATGACGATATAGGTGAAAGCAGCGAAAAAAGCCATCGCGCATGCACCACGGATTTTGCTCAGATCCGTATTAGCATCGTCAATGTATTTATTGAGATAAGCTCCATAATCCATCGTTGCAGGGAGTGTCGGGTCCAAGCCCAATGAGGCGAGCATGGCCTTGTAGGTGCCGCTGCTGTAATCGCCAAGCACCATACTGCAGAACAAGAGAAAGAATATTTGCGTTAGTGTGTAGGTACTTTAGAAAAGAGAACTGCTTTAGGTGTTTGTACTGTAGCTATGCCATAGGGGAACGTACTTGTTCAAAGCGCCGGTGTTCCACCAGGTGTTGCATGCAGCTGCTCCTGATGTGGCGGCGGCGAACAGCAGAATCGACATGATCTGTTTGGGGGGAGGGATGGGGTGGGGGAATGGCTCTTAAGGGTTCCAATGACGCTTTTCGAGTTTCGGACTCACGTACAATTCGAAGAGACTCACGTAGGACTCGAAGAACTGCACGACGCACGTAGCTCCCTAGGGTTCGAAACACTCACGTAGTTCTCGAGGGCTGTAAAGGACTCACGTAGGACTCGAAGAACTGCACGATGTCCATGATCCAGTCGTACGACTCGGAGCCGGGGACGCAGATGCGCACGGAGTTGTAGACGAGCAGCATGACGGCGAATATGAACCCCAGAATTGTCATTCCCACCAGAAACGCGCCCGCGCTGTACGACGTCACTGTCGCCTTGGTCGCGAAGCACAGACTGCCGCGGAGGAAGATAAAAGACGGAAAGAGAATAATAATGGTGAAGAAAATCGTAGGAACATGAAAAGAACTCGCAAAGAAAAGCCGCTTTGCAACGGTAGAGTTTATGCTTCGGTTCCCAAAATGCGTTTAGTTGTTTTGTGGGCGTTCAGATTAAGTTTGCGAGAGTGTGAGGGGATTTGAGATAAGGGTGAGTTTAACAAGAACTTGTTAGGTGATGAAAGCGACACCTGCGAAGGACCACCGCACCTGAAAGCGACGAGGCAGAAGAAAAAGATGCCGATGCGAAGGCCGAAAGGGAGCCACGTGTACAGCGCGGACCGCTTGTTGTTGGCGCAGCACCCCTCCGAATTGCTCGGCGCTGGCGCAGGCGCTGGCGGTGGTGGGGCGTATTGGCGTGGTGGCGGGGCGTATTGGGGTGGTGGAGCGGCGCCGAAACTTCCAGCGTCCATGCCCTGCATGTTCGGAACCTGCTGCTCAGCCATTTCAAGTTGCGACCTCAGGATTTTCAATCCACTTCGCGCTGGGATGCTACAGGAACTATGTAAGCGGTAGGAGAATAAAGAAACTTGTGCTCGCGTGAAGCGTAGGAGAACAAAGTGGTGGAACGACACAAGGTGAACGTTTCTTGAATTGACGCTGCGAAGGATAGCTGTGGAAAAGGTGTAAGGAGACAAGTGTGTGCGAGGAGGAAAACGAGAGGTGATTGATAGAGTAGAATTGAAGGTGAATGGAGGTGGGATGGGGCGAAGTGGATTTATCTGGAATTTCTGCAGGGGCGTTGAAGAATGGACTGGCATTGGATTGGAAGGAAATCGAGCGCCAGGACAACGGAAGCGGGCAGTGCGGTGGCGAAAGCTGACATGGCGAGCCAGCGCAGCGTGAGTGAAAAGAAACCAGCAGGGTGACTTCCACGGCGCTGTCCAGTTCGTGGCGGAGCTGGCCGAGTCAACGGCGCCTCTCGAAGTTTTTAGGTTGCAAATTTCTTGCATGTAGGCTTCAAGCTGGGTCATTGCCCTGCTGGCGTAAATCCACCTCGGCGGAGCTAAACTGGTGACGACGCGCACGTGCTTCCTGCCCACAAGCCACTTCAATTTGACCAGTTCCGTTAGCAAAATATGAGGAAACGGTTTCACAGCAGTTCTTACTTTAGTATAGCTGATCATACATTACATAGAAAGCATACACCATTGGCTTGAATGGATGGGGCTTGTGGATTTGCGTACTGCTAAGATACCAAACCGCATTCTTACCTTCAAAGCATGTGATAATTAGGATCCTTCGAACGAACAAACGTACCGTATCTCTACTTAGAATGAATGTCAAAGGTTGCAATGTATCGCAATGGTGGGCGAGCGCATACAGAGGGTGGGGTTATGTGATGGTTTAATGTGCGGTCAATGAAGAAATTTATGCGTTAGTTGCAGAGCAGAACCAAATTGCCGACGCATAAGTTGCACGGAGAATGCAGTAAAATGTACTAGAAGCATGAACAGTGCGGTTCAGGGTAGGTGGAAACGCGGCCCGGGTGTTCAGTGGGTGAATATTGACGGTGCGATCTATGGGTGTTTCACTCGCGCTGCGCGTGGATTCACTGCGAGGCCCGTGTGATAGACGGTGGTGATGTGTGATAACGTCATGGGTGTTGTTGTCGCCGGACATCGTGCATCGTGGATGGACTCTCGCACGAGCAGCGGTGCGAGAACAGGCGACGTATTAGACGCGTGGGATGGTACAGAAGTTCCTCGTACGATGGTAATGCGATGGGTGATGGGCGTCGATTTGTGCGCATCGTTTTTGGTGTGAGCCGTTGATGTCGTCTTGCATCAATGGTTGTCGTCCACCATGCAGAGAGACGGTGTTGGCACGATGGTTGGATGTAGGCCGTGGATTGTCGTGGGATGAGTGCACCAAAACCGTGGATGTGTCTAAGATCGACAGTGTGAAGGGGGGCACGTGTGCGGGTTTTCTAGGAGGGGGTTAAATCTGGGTCGTCCATGCATTTACGTTTTGACGGTTGACAGGTAGTGCAAAAGGATGAGGTGTGCACGCAATAACCGCATGGTGGGGATGAGGTGTCGACTTTATGTGCGTAGATTAGAACTGGGATGGACCGCTGCGATGCTGCGAGCGAAGTTGTTGGCGGTGCTTGTAAGCCGTGGATTATGGTGCGTGAAGGAGAGATCATGACGGTTCGTTTAGAGTGGCAGGGACGACACGTGCTTGTCAGTGGTTGGTAGCCCAGCTCAGAAACGCAAGTACGTTCAGTTGCGTCCGGAGTTGGATGTAACGTGGGTGTTGTAACTGTACACCACGTGGATGCCTACGTGGCAGTGGCATTGTCCGGTGATGTTATGGTGACGTAATGGTTGTGGTGCGCCGGGTCACTGTTCGTAAACGCGATGGTCACTCAGATGTAACGTTGCGTGTGACGAAAATGTGTTGTTTACGAAACAAATGCGGAACGGAATGGTGAAGTGTTAGTGACTCTATAGGTAACGTCGCGAACTGGGACTTCTGTCCATGACTTTTCCGTCACCGGAAAAGGTTACGTAGAAGTCCCTTATAAGTCACATTTCCGTGACTTTCCTGACTTAGCATTTCCGCGATGAAAGTATGGTCTTTCCTAGGAATTGCGGGAGGACGCCGAGTGTGGTCTCACGGAAAGTATTCCAACGGGGTGAAATAAACCGCATTCTTACCTTAAAAACATGTGATAATTAGGATCCTTCGGACGAACAAATGTACCGTATCTCTACTTAGAATGAATGTCAAAGGTTGCAATGTATCGCACCTTAAGTTTGAGGGCCGACTTATACGTTTATCAACTAATCAAAAGCAGAACACGGGTGGTGGGATGGGAGATAGGGGGTAGAGAACATGTGTGGTGGGATAGTGGATAGCAGAACACTTGTTCACACGTGTTCTCATTTCAGTCCATGACTGCCACGTCATGGTCTCCGCACTCGATAGCACGTAGGAATGCGCTCAAAAGGTCGGCAAGCATCTGCGGTAACAATATCTGGGATCAATTAAAGCCCGAGTACAGCATGGTTTTTTTCAAGTTCAAGATTCTTGAACTTGAATTCGTAAAAAACAGGGTTACCCTATTTCTCTGTCTAAAACTATCGCGACCCTGGGACAACGCCGAGCGACACTCTCTCCTCATTGGCTTTTGAGCAGAGTCGCAAAAAATAACCGAACGTCGCCCAGGTTGGCCTACTGTTTGGCTCTCACATATCTTGAACACCTTGTCGTACTCATGAACTGCCTACTCCCTCACCTAAGTAGACAGCCTGTGCGCCTTGCACTAGTTTTAGGAGCCGCGATATTTACAGCAACTCCCAAGGCACACATGCTGTCTCGCCAATAGCTAGGCAGCAGGCCCCTAGAGTCACCCGCTATTTACATACGTTGTCGCGTTACTCACACGGAACGTGACAGTCAAACGAGTGCTTCACCATGCTACCCCACGTTTAGCGCGCGTATTCACCCGCGCTCTCCCTCGCCAGCCGCGCCCGCCCTCGCCACCCGCGCCCTCCCTTGTCACTCGCGCCTGCCCTCGTCACTCGCGCTTGCCCGGGATTCCGTGCTTCTGCTCGTCATCCGTGTAACGCATTGCCCTAACTACTGCCTAGCAACCTAACTTCTCCCTAGTCAAATGTCGAGAGTTATCTTGATAAAGAGAGAGTTGGAGAAGATGGTTGAGTTGGTTGGGATGAAACTTGGTTTGGGTTTGCCAAGCCTCAACATTGGAGGCTTGGAACATTTCCAACTCAACCAAGAGAATGTTGAAGGTTGGAATTCCAACCAATCAGAAACTGCCAAACAAGTGTTACAATCTACTCTATCATAAACACAACCATTGAATGGTTCTAAGTTGGGTTTTCCAACCCAACACAATTGCCACATAGGCTCCAAGCCTAGGAACCATCCCACCATGGAAACCATGGTTGGGATAGGTTCCCAAGGGGTGTATTGAGGGGGTCTGAGCTAAGGAAGCTCATTCTCAACCTCCCACTCCAACTAAACAATTGGAAATGGGATTGTTTTGCCTAAGTCATTGAGAGCTCTCTCACAAGCCTTCCTACACAATTCTCTCAAGCCTTTTCAACAACTCCTTCAAGAAGATTGGCACTTCCAAGGCTATTGGGAGCTAGTTAGAGCTTCAACTTGTATTGGGATTTATTATAAAAGCATTGTAACTCCATTATAATAGCCTTGGGTGTTACATTGGTATCTAGAGCAAGGTTCTTCCTTGGCCTTGTGTGGCCATTTTCTACTTGGATTATTTTTTTTAGAGGATCCTAGCTTGTGGATCTAGGATTTTATCCAAGGAGCAGTGAAGATTTTGAAGAAATTTCAAGATCTACAAAAGCATCTTCAAGATCTACATCTTCAACTTCAATTTCTTCAAACCACCATTGGAGCTACAACATCTACAAGGAGCTCCTCTTCTTCATCAACATTGAGAAGAAATTTTGAAGAGGATTTCATTTCTCTTACCCACCTTTTGGGTGGAAGACTCTAAACCACATTTGGTGGAAGAGTATCTTCAGATCTACAAGGACTTGTTGAGGATTACTCTTTTGAGTATATCTTGCCCTATCATTGAGGTGATAGGGAGATTTAGCAAACAAGTCAATCTTAAGATATTCTGTATTGGATTATTCTTTAAGAGTAATCAGATTTCTTTAAGATTATTATAAGATCTGTTGAGATCTCCTCTCCTTAACCTGTTTCATGGCTCCTAGTCAAGAGGTGGATGCTGAGGTGCCCGTCGCTGGCAATGAGGGAGATAATGCTACTGCTGCTGCTGACATTGATCTCAACCCTGAGGACTTCATGGTTGACATGGAGATCAATGGAAGTGAAGCTGATCTTGAGGCTGATGCTGACAATGAGGATGAGGCTGGCTCTGCTGAGGGTGTTTCTAATGAGACTGAGGACATTGCTGTGAAGCTTCAGACTCAAATTACGGAGCTGAATATTCTCATTGGAGAGCAGCACTGCCGCATCCAGAACTTGGAGGCTGATTCTGTTAAGCTTCAGGCCTTGATTGAGAAGCTGACCAGGGAGGTGTAGTCGATTCCTAAGGGAAATGACACCTCCAGCTTCATTCAAGACCTGCAGACCACTCTCCAGTTCGTGCAAGATCAGCTCAAGAAGCAAGAGAAACACATCTCTGTGCTTCAGGCCCAGTACAGGGAGATCCGGCGTGGAAACCTCTACCAGCCTGCTCCTGCAGCAGAGCGAGTTGCCAACGCCGCTAACAGCCGTGCTGCACCTGCTGATGCACCTCCTGCTGTTCCTCCTCCTACTGGAGCACGTGCTGAGCCTCCTGCTGCAGCAGCAACTGCTTTTGGCTCCTGCCCTTCGGCCCTGCCTCGTTTTGTCCATGGCAAGACCGGCGTTGAGACTTGGCTCTCCATTGCGGAGGACTTTATGTCCATCCAAAATGTGCGTAGCGAGGCTCGCGTGGTCGCGGCGACTCTTGCCCTGGACGACACTGCGAGCAAGTTGGTGTATGCCAACAAGCGCCACGCAGAGGCTAATGGCCATCCTTTCGGCTGGGAGGAGTTCAAAGCTGCCATGCTGGCGGCATTCCTGAGTCAGCCCCCGGCGCTCGAGGTGCGTAGCCGCCTGGAGAACATCCAGTGCGGTGACCAGCCTGTCCGCGAGTACGCCAAGGAGTTTGAGAAAACTCTGTCGCTGCTGAAGACTGCTCTTCCTGAGAGCGAGGTCATCCACCAGTTCTTCAAGGGACTCCCTGAGCACATCAAGCGTGTGCATGTTGTGCGTGGGGAGCACCAGTGGAGGACCTACAAGGAGTGCAAGGAGCAGGTCATTGACACGGATGTGAATTTCCGTGCGTACATGACTCACGCTCGTGCTCAGCAGCAGCAGCCTAGTGCCGAAGGCCCTAGGGGGGGTGGTAACAGGACTCAGGCACACAGGGGCAGTGGCTCTTGGAAGAGGCCCTATCAGCAGAAGGGGGAATCCTCTGGGACTCAGTCCAAGAGGGCCCATGCTGGGCCTGCCAAGGATCCTCAGGATGAGGATAAGCCCCCGGCGGGCTGCCGCATCTGTGGCAAGCTTGGCCACAAGTCCTATCACTGCCGTTGGAGGAAGTCCGTCAAGAACTCCGGCAAGCCCCACCAGGGCAAGAAGCCGGATGGTTCTGGCCCTTCGGGCTCGAAGGATTTTCCGAAGTCCAACTAGGGGGTGGGTACCTAGTTGGTGAGCGAGATCGAGTAGATGAGGCTTATGTCCTTCGTGATGAGGATTTGCTAAAGCTAGAGAAGCTTGCATCATGCAAAATCGCTTGTTTGTATGCCTCTTCTATCAATGAAAAATCTGTTTTTAAAACTCGATCGTACCCACTTGAAAACATCTCAATTGAATCCTTGAGAGATAAATTTTCAATCATCTCTTGCTCGTTCAACGAGTTGCCAGCAATCATGGATATTGTGGACCGTTGTGTCCAAGAGCACCCGCTCACGTCAGTGGGATTGGTGACTCGAATCGTGAAAGGAGAGTTATTCCGCCGCTTTCACGAATGGCATATCCTGGCAACATGGGACAAAGGGCACCACGTCTGGTGGACCAGCTCCCAAAGGTTTGGACGTGCTCACAACAAATTTAGGGTGTACTATCGACCTCCTAAACTTGTTGTCGCTTGTCCCATCCGTCCAAGATTCCAACAAAATCTACTGTTATCTGGACGCATGAATGGGGACGAAGCAAGGATTCTAGTCGATACAGGCGCGTCGGTTTCCCTTGTTAATGAAACTTGGGTTACGACACGCAACGTCCTCGTTGTAGGACCGTCATGTCCCATCCGCTTGGGTGACGATCGTGTCATTCCAAGTAAAGGACAGACACATATCGACATGATTGTACAGGACTATAGCGAAACAGTTCGCGTGTATGTCCTACCACTTTTGTCAGGTGTCGACCTCATCCTGGGCATGGATTGGTTGCGAGCCAATGAAGTCATTCTGGACTTCCATTACAACATTGTCTCGTTCAACAAGAACGGAAAGGCAATCCAGTGGCAAGTCAATGATACTTTACCCACTGAAACACAGACGCCTGAACGCAGCGTGCTGCGTGTGTTGGCCAACCAGTTCGGGCATTCTGTTAAGTCGGCTGATACACTGTTCGTGGTACAGCTTGAGAATGCTGAGGCCTCGGAGCCAGCAATTGAGGATTTCCCTCCTCAGATGCAAATACTGGCGGAGGAATTTAAGGAAGTGTTTGAAACCATCCCTGATGGACTTCCGCCTGACCGCGCAGTGGGTCACACCATCCCTGTTGAACCAGGAAAGGTTCCACCCTTTCGACCTCTGTATCGCCTCAGTCCAGCTGAGTACGAAGAGGCCAAACAACAGATCGAGGAATACCTCAGAAAAGGATGGATTGAACCCAGTGCATCCCCTTACGGAGCACCGATTTTGTTCGTTAACAAGAAGGGCGGAGGATTACGCATTGTGAAAGTAAGGAACAGGAATGATCAACTATGAAATGAAAACAGTACAAGTACCAACCCTAATTGGGTTGTACCCCTTATGTGCTACCCCACTACAGCCTACAACATGTATAAGCTATAGTAATCTGACACACCCCCATAGGCAAAGTGGGGGAGAACAAGGGGTCACAAGACCAGTCAAGCAAAGCAAAGCAAAGCTCAGGGTGGATCACAAAGTCACCACGCATTCCGAGCACAAGTTCAAAGGCCAGACGGCAAGTTCACATGCAAGATCATATATAGAGATATACAAGAGTCAAGCAAGCAAGAGCAAGAGTATATATAGGCGAAGGTACAAGCAAGGTCAAGAGGAGAGCAAGTGAGGCAAGACAGGCACAAGACCCAACTGCGTGCAACAACGCTGATGATCACAAGGAGCAAGTGCCTTGGTGAAGACATCAGCAGTGTTGGCCTCAGAGGCCACGTACGCAAGTCGCAACTGTCCACGCTGCTGTAGCTCACGAGCAAGAAAGTAGCGGAGAGCAATGTGCTTCGTTCTGTGCTCCAGTCGCTGCTCTCGACACAAGGCCAGCATGGCCTTGTTGTCTACGTACAGGACTGGAGGAGAACGAGGCTGCTCTCCAAGGTCGGTCAGCAGGTAGGTGAGCCAGCGTAACTCCTGCGCAGCCATAGCCCCAGCGTAGATCTCAGCCTCACAACTGGAGCCGAGAACAGAAGACGAGCTGGTAGCCCGCCACGAGACAGAGCCGGAACCAAGGCTGAAGGTGTAACCCTGTGACGACCGCTGCGTAGCCTGGTCGTCAGCCCAAGAAGCGTCTGCGTGCCCAGTGAGGACCACTGGACTGCGCCCTCCAAGCACTAGCCCCATGCCCGACGTACTACACAAGTAACGCAACACCCTCTTCGCTGCAGCCATGTGCTCTGGTCGGTGTCTCCCAGGAGCAACAAAGCGTGCGAGAATGCTAAGAGGGTATGCGAGGTCAGGTCGTGTGCAGGTCATCAGGTACATGAGGCAGCCAACAAGCTCTGGGTACGGGCCACTCGACTCTACGGACTCATCCGAAGGCAGAGCTGAGAGCGAGTGGCGAGTAGGCAGAGGAGTGGCCTGAGGCGAGGAGTACGTGAAGCCGAAGCGCTGAAGGACCTGCTGCACCATGTGTGACTGAGTCAGGGTAATGGTGCGGCGTGCTCTGTCCCGGGTGATCTGCAAGCCAAGGTAGCTACGCATTTCACCCAGGTCAGTGCACGTGTGTCTCTTCTGCAGCTCGGACTTCACGTAGGCGAGTCCAGCAGTGTCAGCTGTGGCAAAGACCAAGTCGTCGACGTACACGAGGATGTAGAACGGCGGCAGAGAGGTGTCGGTGCGCAGAAACAGCGACGGGTCGGCAGTAGAAGGAGCAAACCCAAGTGCCGCGAGCGTAGTCCTCAGTGTGTCGTGCCACTCACGTGGCGCCTGGCGGAGACCGTAGACTGGACGCCGGAGACTCCACTGGGTACCAGGAGGGAAAGACCCAGTGAAGCCAGGTGGGCGACGCAGCCAGATCTCCTCGTGCAGGCTGCCCTGCAAGAAAGCTGTGCTGAAGTCGAGAGAGTGCAGCTCGTAGTCACGGTGAGCAGCAACGTGCAGCAGAACCCGAAGAGTGGTCATCTTCGGGGTGGGGGAGAAGGTCTGAAAGTAGTCAACCCCCTGCCGCTGACTGAAGCCACGAGCCACGTAACGCGCCTTGAAGACAGGCGGAGAACCCGGCGGCCGCTTCACCCTGAAAATCCACATGCCACTGACGATGTTCGCCCCAGGAGGGGGAACAGCGTCAACGTAGGTGCCTGTGGACTTCCAGGAAGCCATCTCTGCATCCATAGCTGCCTGCCACTGAGAGGAGTAGGGACCCTCTACCGCCTCCGCGTAAGAGCGCGGAGTCGGGATGTCTGGTGCATCCGGGTCTCCCTCAGGGGCTAGCAGTACAGACGCGAGACGAGGTGAAGCAGCGGCTAGACACTGGAACTCCTCCTGCCTGTCCTCAAGGACGTCCGTGCCAAGGGCACACTCACCCCCGACGGACGGAGGACAGGCGGACTCAGACTCAGTGACAAGACGAGCAGCGTAGTCTAGACGACAGCGCGCAGCAAAGTCGACAAGCTCAGTGACAAGGGCAGACGCAGCAGACGACTCGAAGGAAGGGTCAGTGACAGCAGTAGCAAGGAGACGCGTGACAGTAGGACTGGCAGCACGAAGAGAGTCCGACTCCGGGTCGGCAAGAGCAGGAAGAGAGGAAGCAGGAGGAGAAGGTAAAGGGGCACGCAGAGGAGCAGTGGACGGACGCAAAGACATCCGGTGCGTGCCAGGGACAGGAGGAGGACGCTGACGCGACCCGCGACCACTAGCGCGCTCAGTACGAACAGGCGACGCAGGACGAGACGCAGGCTCACGACGCTCAGTAAGACCTCCAGTCGGACCAGCGTAGGGAGAAGGAGCAGGCAAAGGGGAGGCAGGCTGTAGCTGTGGCTGTGACCGGACAGGCTGCGGACCCTCCAAGGGAGGAGGAGGAGGTGCAAGACCAAGAACCTGCTGCAGGAGCGGAACGAAGTACGGTCGGGGCCGCGCGGTGACGCCAGAAACAGCAGGAACAGCACCAGCAGGCCCGTCAGGAGCACCCACTCCAGCAGCACCTCCAGCAGAACCACCAGACGCTCCAGAACCTCCAGCAGCAGCACCAGGAGTACTGTCAGTCGGACCTCCAACTGCAGGCTCAGCGTCAACACCCTCAGCAGTACCAGCTCCAGGAGAGCTCTCAGACCCAGCAGCTCCAGCACCCACAGGACGAGCACCGCCAGGACGCGTGGCAGCAGTACCCTCTGCAGTCGAAGAACCACCAGCTCCAGCAGCACGCCTCCAGCGCCGGGCAAACCACTCACGCAGCTCCTGTGGGGAGAGTGGCTCCCGGCGAGACGAAGCACCCCCAGGCAAAGCACCCCCAGGCTCAGCACCCCCAGGAACAGCACCCCCAGGCTCAGCACCCCCAGGCTCAGCACCCCCAGGTACAGCACCCCCAGGCTCAGCACCCCCAGGAACAGCACCCCCAGGCTCAGCACCCCCAGGCTCGACACCTCCAGGCTCAGCACCCCCAGGCACAGCACCCCCAGACTCCGCACCCCCAGGCTCCGCACCCCCAGGCTCAGCTCCCGCAGCAGCACCAGAGTCACCAGTGACCTCGACAGGCTCAACCGCGTCTACCTGGGACACACCTGAAGGGGCAGGACCCTGAGGGGGGAGGGGGACTACCGGGGGGGGACCTGGTACCAAGAAGAGCGGGGGTGGGGGGAGGGACGGAGTGCGGTAGGGGAAGAGGCGGTAGTAGGGTACCGACTCGTCGAACGTGACGTCCTGGGAGGACAGAACACGTCGAGAGGTGGGGTGGTAAAACTGCCACCCAGGGGCGTCGGGGGGGAACCCCAGGAAGACGCAGGGAGAAGCACGAGGGGACAGCTTGTCCGCAGACAGGTCGCGAACAAACGCCCGAGATCCCCAGACCCGGAACGCCGACGCATCGCCAACCTTCCCCGTCCACAGCAGAGCTGGGGAGGTCTCCGGTCGAGAGACCCTGGGGTGGAGGTTGATCTGGTGCGCAGCGTACCTGACCGCAAACGGCCACAGAAAATGGGGAGCTGCCGCATGCATCATGGACGTACGAGCGACGTCCATGACCATGCCAATGCGGCGCTCAGCAATCCC